TACGCCAAAGGGAGAGTTAAACTTGGGAACTGAGTCATGCAAAAACTGCCTTCCTTTTGTTCCCAGATAGCTGTAATTTCACATGCTTACTTTAGCTTACTTAAAATGTAGATTTCCTGAGCCCTAATCAGAGCCTCACAAGAATGTAACCACTGGCCTCATTGCTTGCTCTCTCTTTTTTTTCCTTCCCTTCCTGCTTGCTCTTTCTCCTTTACATATTAATGTTTCCAAAACCATCTTTGGAAAAAGTGCAAGTCACAGGTCCTATTGTGATTTTTGTTTCTTTTTCCCGGGCGCATCCTCAACCTTGGCAAAATGAACCGCTAATTAATTGAGATCTGCTTCAGTCACTTTTCGGTTTGCCCCAATTAAAGCAGAATGCCTGGTGGAGGCACATGGGCATAGCTATGCTTTTGAGCTTCCCAGTGCAGTCTGGGAAGAGAGCTACCATTTTAGGGCAAGCATTTCTTGAAGACCACATTAAGGCGTTTGCTTTTTAGTGAGGATGCAATTGGAAGTATCTGGGAGGTTTCAAGCAGAAAAATGACATCCTCATCTTCACTGGTTTAAACTATCAAAAGAACTAATTGGTGGAAAGAAACCAGCTTTATGAAAGAGGAAACTTTTCTAAAACAAGAACAAAAGAAGGAGAGAGAAGTACTTTTATAGATAAGTTTAAAAGTGAAAAGGAAAGTTTACATCTAAGAACTTCTGTTTTCTCTAAGAAAGACTTGGCCCCACCTGCAATGATTGAGGGGCATGTGGCTCAAAGAAGAAATGGGAGATCAGAAACAGCCAACAAAGGAAACAGGAAAGGAAGGCATCTGGTCAATAAGAAGAGCTAGAGGCACCAGGAGCCTCAGCCCTGAAACAAGCTCCTTAGGGAGTTTATCTTAGGTGGAGCCCTCATCATCAGGTGAGGTTATGTAAGCATCCCTGCTGTGCAGAAGGAGAGTCTGAGGCCTGTTAGACTGACCAAGAGACACAAACGTAGAGCAAGTGCAGATTAAAAAAGAGGTAGCACAGAGTTGAGCATTGTCAATAGGTAACCACTCTAGAGATTGAGCATGGATTCCAGGCTGCATGAAAAAGAAAAGCTTGTTAGGTTGGAACAGTTGAGATCCTGGAGGCTTGGAGCAGCTGAAGAACAGATTTAGTGAGACAGAGAGAAGAGATGGAAGGATGTGGACCCAGGGTGGGACTTTTTTTTTTTTAAGGAGCAGTTTCAAGCAATGATGAGGTCTGGGTTGTGACTACAGGAACAGCAGCAGCAGCATCTAGTTTACCCACCACAGTGTTCAGAGAACCATGCAAGTCAACAGACTTTTGTTTATGAACTGAAGGCTCAGAACATGACACACCAAAGTATGCCACTTTAGTATAAAGATTATTTTGAGCTGAAGGCAGGTGAGAATCTGCAGACACAGAAAAAAAGCTCTCTACCCTCTTCCTATTTGCCTAAAAGAAGGGCATAAATTTCCCACACTCTTATCATCCCAGAAATAGCACTGAGAGAAATCTACATAACAAACATTACTTAAATAACCCTTATCTTCCATTAGTTTCTACCACATATTTGCCGTCCCACAATTTACTGCCACTAGAAGCTCAAACCCCTTTCCTTTGTCTTGTCAAATGTATTGCCCTTTGTTAAAATGGTATATAAACCTTCAGGTCTAACTACTTCTTTGGGTTTTTATTTCATCTGTGAGCCCCTCATATGCATATAAAATAAACCTTTTTCTCCTGTTAATCTGCCTTTTGTTGGTTCAATTCCAGTCATTGGACCTAAGAGTATAGAGGAAAAAGCCTTTACTCCTGTCTGGTAGGACATTAGTTAGACTCCGAATTCAAAGTGCCCTACAACCACCAAGCACTAGAGTATTATTGTTATGAGATACTGGAGAGATAGACTTGGGTCATATGCTTGATTGTGTTCTGGCACCTTCCTTGAAGCACTTAAACCCTGAAGATCAACAATTATTGACCTCTGTTATCTCAGTGGGTGGGAAAGTTCTCTTTAAAAACAATTCACACCATCATGCCATCAAAAAACTAAAATCAATGACTCAATTCAAAATGTCACTCTGTTGCTGACACCCAGTTCTGACAACCCCTGTGGTTATTTCTGTCTTGGAAACAAGCTTATCAACATCTTGGTTGGCCAATTGCAGGATTCTTTCCCCAGTCAACTGGAAGTTCGACCGTGAAGGCCAGCTGAAAACTTAGGAACCACTTTGGAGAAGTGAAGGTAAGAAATACGAACTAAAGCTTCAAGCCCCCAGCTCTAAAGAGCACCAGAGTGAAGAGTTAAGATTAATGGCTCAGTGATGAGATCTGGCATCAAGCTACATCTCCGACTTACCAGCTGGGTAGACTTATATAAATTTGATTCTTACTGTCCTCTTCTGTAGAGTGGATTCATAATACCTATGAATGAAACCTTTGTTACAAAGGTTAAACAAGATCAAGTACATAAAGCACTAAGCACAGGGTTTGACACATAGCAAATGTTCATTAAACCGTAGCTACTTTTATCGTTATTATTATTATCATTACTATTATCAGATCCCCAAATAGCATGCCGAGAGTAATGAACTGCTTCCAAGTCATTGCTGAGGGATTGTAGCCTCTTTAAAGAACTCTCCAAAGTGATTACACAGCAGCTGGAGGGTGCAGGCAGGAGAACCCTGATTTGTAGCCACAAGCAATTTCACGCTATTACATGATATCTATCACTGGGTGCACATTTTGCTCTCAGGAGCCATATAAGGTGTCTCCCATCCACCTCTGGACGGTTGTCTGAGATTTCCTCCCAAAGGTCTTTGGGAATTCATTCATCTGTCCACTTAATGCATGTAGATATGCATATAGATATGCATATATAGAGATATGTAGATGTATCTCATACACCTACTCTATTGTAGGTCAAATATCTACCATGCAAAGAGGATTTAAAAAATAAAGAAGACTAGCCCTTCCTTCCCCCAGAGCCTGTGATCAAGGAGGGGTGGGCAATTAGACAGCCATGACAACACTGAGAGGTAGAAGCCACGAGGGAAGAGCAGTGTGGCCAGGAAGTTCAGGGAGGGGCACCTCACCCATGTGAGGGTTTAGAGAAGGCTCCTAGTCTAGACACTGAGCAGTAGGTAGCCAGGTAAGGTGAGAGCTGTGGGTGTGTTGAGCAGAGAAAGACTGAGTGCTAAGGCACTGTGGCCTGAAGGTGTGAGCAGATACTAAGAGGTTAGTATGAGTAAGCATGGCACAGACAGTGGGCCAGGGCAGAAACCCCACCATCAAACCACACCCAGGCCATGCAGGGTCTGTGAGCAGTGTTAGGGGAGCCAATGTGGGGTTTTAAATAGAAGCATGAGAGGGTTGGGTTTGCCTTTTAGGAAGATCGCTCTGATGCATTATGTAATTTAAAACAAAATTTTTTTAAGTGGAGAAAATAAAGATGAGCATGGTTATAGTGTAGATTTAAAAAGTGGTGGGGGAGGGATGGGTAAGACTGGAGGCAGGGAGCCGTACTTGGAGGCTGTTCCTATAATCTGAGCAAGGGACAATGGTGCCCTGGTCAGAGATGGAGAGAAGGACAGTGATGAAGCTTCAGGACCTGGTGACTGCTAGGAGTGGTGGGAGAGGGAGAAGGAGGGGTCGAGAATGATGTCAGGGTGTGTCTGCCTTGGTGGATGGACATGCCATTCTCTGAAAAACTGAAGATGGGAGGAAAAGAAGCAGTACTGAAGGGGGAAGAGTATGGGATTCAGTACTGGACATACTGAAGAGTATGGGATTCAGTATTGGACAGTTGAGGTGGAGATGCCTGAGGGACACTACTCGAGGATGACAAGCAGGAGTGAAATAATCCCCCCTGGAATGCAGGAAGAAATCTGAGCTGGCAACAGTCTTCAGGGTCTCTGGCAGAGAGGTCCCAGCATAAGCCATGGGAGCAGCTTAGAGCATCTAGAGAGAGGGAGTAGTTAGGAGATGACAGGGCTTAGGGTAGGATTATGGGTATCATCAACTTCACACCCCCAGGAGGAGCATCTGTAGGAGCCTGAGAAGGATCAACTGATACATCAAAGGAAAACCTGGAAAATGAGGAATGGTGATGCTCAAATGAAAACTGTTTCAAGAAGGAGGAATGAGGCCAGGTTCAGTGGCTCATACCTGTAATCACTAGCACTTTGGGAGGCTGAGGTGGTCAGATCACTTGAGGTCAGAGGTTCGAGACCAGCCTGGCCAAATGGCAAAACCCCTCTCTAAGTTTACAGAGACCTGAGCATGTTTAAATGCTAACAGGGAGAAGTCAGTAGAGAGGAGGAGGCTGAGGGGGCAGGAAGAAGATGTAAGACGCGCCAGGCTGAGCCTGAAAGGAGCTGAACCCAGGCTTCCAGTCACCTCTCCATGGTGGAGACAGCCCTAAGGGTCTCAGATCACCCCAGAGTTCACCATCCCAGTGAGGAGGAGAGGAAAGACAGGGAGGAAGGGACAAAGGAACATGTAAATTAGACAACCAGGACCACATCAGTTTGTAAGTTACTAGTACCAGGCCCCAATTACTGAAAGTACCACCGTTTTGGCATAATGTGATTAAAACTTATTTTTAAAGTTATTCCATGAAACAAAGTTTTTTAGTTTTTTACCAAAATAAATTTTTAGATCCTGTAAATGCTTAGAAAAGGGAATCCCAACTGGCAGCCTGTATATCCAATCCAGCTGGCATATAAGTATTTTGCCTAAACAGTGTTAGAAAATATAGGAAATTTCACTTAAAAATCTAGACTGCTAAATTCTTTTGAAAATGAAGATCTGGCAACACCAGCACTGCATGGCATCCCTCAGATGGGCTGCTCTGCCCCCATTGAAAAGGGGCAAATGCACTCCATCCAGCTTGTCGTGGCCTCACCAAGCCTCTTTCCTGGCCCCAAGAGGCAAACTCCTCTGCCCTTGCACAAAGGTGGGTCCCATGGTGCTGTTGTCTGTCCCAGCCCTACCTTATGATGGAGCACCTTCCAAGTGCCAAGCAGAGTTTGAAGACACTAGGGATACAGCAGTAGCTGCTACACTCTTCCTGTTCAGAGAGCTTAGAAACTGGGGAGGCCAATGGAGCTCTAATCTCAGCAGGATGGGGCTGCTGGCATCCTTTAACAATGCAGATTTAACTTTGCATGTAGAAAATATTCCAGCGGTCTGCTCATCCCACACACCCACTGATGAACAAAAGCACATTCAGAATGGATGCTCAATTCACTATAGAAATTTTGACACAAATTTCCTGGAGTTTGACATTGTATTGTGACACACTGCTTTAGCAATCAGGCCAGACCCCTGCCTGAAGAGGTCAGGGAGGAGAATAATTCAGTGTAACACAAGAGAATTTAAAAGAGCACTGGAATGTTTTTGGCAATAGCAGTTTCATTGCATTTCTTCATTTTTCTTTACAAGCTGGAATCATTTCCAATATTGTGCCAGTATCTGACCTGGTCTTTGCTAGATTTAACTGAAGATAGATTAAAACAATAGAGCAGGTATGACCCGCAGGGCTCAGAGGATTTATTTGTTTTCCTAAAACTCTTGCAGCTGATCATTTGGCCAATGTAAGCATCTGCCTGCCTGTGTCCCTTGAGAGTACTATTTTAAGGAGAAGGTGCTTTGTGGAACAGAAGGGATTTTTCACTACTGAGCCTTCCCCTCTTCCTTCTGCAGAGACAATGGGGAAAATATATTTGATAAAGTTTTAGTGGGAACTGAAAAAGGCACATCACATAAAAGTATGACCTTTATCTTTTACATTAGAATTAATTTTCATTGAATAAGAAGCAAAGAAGGATGAAAACACCAAAGGTCCCAAATAACTTAATACAATAAAACAAAACCATAATATTCCTGTTTTGAGAACTAGTGCTAATCAGAAACTCTGAAGGGGAATGGACATTGAGGTAAGGGAAGCAGGTTGTTCTAAATTTCTGGCAAAGACAGTAACAAGATTTGGAAGTGAGCTCACGAAGGCTGCTCTGTTGACCCAGTGGACCTCCCTCCCTTCCTCCCTCCCTCTGTTCCAAACCAAGGTAACAGCATAGCACAGTGAATTATGGATTAGGGACTGTTTGCCTGGGGCAGACCTGGATTTGAACCCCAGCTCTGCTACTAACTAGCTGGGTAACCTTGTTACCCAACCTCCCTAAGCTTTAGCTTCCTCACTTATCAAAGGGGATTGTTAACACACATTTCAGAGGATTGTGGTGAGAATGGAATAAGAAGCGTTTGCAAAGTAGCTGGTCCGTAGCAAGTATTCAGTAAGGGGCACCAAGAAACAGACAGTTCTTCTGAGTGTACAGTCAAATATAATAATGAGGACCTTTTCATAATATCAGTTATCAAAATTTGACATCTGAATTTTCTAATCTAATTTTCAAACTATTCAAGTGTACATTATGTAAATCTAAAGAACCACTATTAAAGCTAAGGTGAGCGCTTGAGGCGAGGGATACTGGGAGGGAAAGGGGATAAAAGACTGATATGAGAGGGAGAATTACTTTTTACTGTTCCCTTTTACACACTTAGAAATTATTTCCATCCATATTATGGTATAATTTAGAAATAATTAAATTGACCCATTTTAAGTGTACAGTTTAATGAATTTGGAAAATGAATATAATCATGTCATTATGTAACCACTCACTCAAGATATACAAGAGTTGTAACACCCTAAAAATACCGTATGCCCCTTTGCAGTCAATACCCTCCTCCACACAGGCCCAGGCAACACCCATCTGCTCTCTGACATGATCTTTTTGCCTCTTCTAGAATATCATATAAATGGAATCATACAGTATGTGGTATTTGGCTTTTTGCTTAGTATGTTTTTGAAATTCATCCACATCATGGCCTGTATTACTATTTCATTCTATTTTATGGCTGAGCAATTATCCATAGTATGGATATATAACAATGTGTTGATCCATTCACCAGTTGATGGACATTTAGGTTGTTCCCAGTTTGGGGCTCTCATGAATAATGCTGCTGTTACAAATCTGTGTTGCACCATTTACATTTTGCTCCAAATGCATGTATTCACACTTTAAAGATCAGAGTGTGGGAAGAATCACCTCTCTGAATAACTAGAACCTGGAATAAATGAATATAATTACAGTTTGGCTGGCCAAAATTTATATAACTTCTCTCCACATTCAATACTCAGTGTCTTTTTATGTATTATGTATGTAAATATACAAGAAGTATATGTCTTCTGCTAAGCAGTATACATCTGGTTGATTTCCCCAACAGACAACACAAATCAAATCACTATGATGACGTTAAATGTTTCCTTATGGCCTTAAGAGTGTTTGATTTTCCTTAAAAACTAATCTTTAACAACTGCATGCAGCAACATGCAGGAGACATGAATACTCACATTTGGAACAAAAGAATACGTAAGTTCAAATACAGGATGCTATGGTTTGAATGTGTGTTCCCTCCAAAACTCATGTTGAACATAATCCCCAAGGTAGCAGTATGGAGAGGCCTTTAAGGGGTGATGGGGACATGAGAGATTTGCCCTCATGAATGGACTAACTCATTCATGGATTAATGGGCTATAATAGGAGTGGGACTGGTGGCTTTATAAGAAGAGTAAGTGAGATCAGAGCACGCTCAGCCCCTCGCCATGCGATGCTCTGTGCAGGGTTGGGACTCTGCAGAGGGTCCTTAACAACAATAAGACCCTCATCAGATACGGCCCCTTGACTTTGAACTTCTCAGCCTTCATAACTGTAAGAAATAAATTTATTTTATTTATAAATTATCCAGTTTCTGTTACTTTATTATAAGCAACTGAAAACAGCTTAAGACACAGGCAAAATTAATTTGTGGAGATAAAAATTAGATAAGTGGTTACCTCTGGCAGGAGTCAGATGTATTGACTGTTGCAGGGAGGGAGAGATGAGTGTGATCGAGTCTTAGGGTGCTGGAAATGTTCTTTATTTTCATCTGGGTGCTGGTTCCATGTTTGTATACATAAATAAAAATTCATCAAGCTGTGCAATTGAGTGCACTTTACTGTGTATACGTTGACCTCAATACAAAATTTAAAAGCTAATAATAATAATCTTTCAATCTGGGATCAAAACAGATTGTATGTGTGACCGCCTGGCATTATTCCTGGCACATAATAAATGGTGATTAATAAATATTCATGCCAGGCATGGCAGCTCATGCCTGTAATCCTAGCACTTTGGGAGGCCAAGGTGGGCAGATCACTTGAGGCCAGGAGTTCGAGACCAGCCTGGCCAAAATAGCAAAACCCCATCTCTACTACAAATACAAAGATTAGCCAGGTGTGGTGATGTGCGCCTGTAATCCCAGCTACTCGGGAGGCTGAGGCATGAGAATCACTTGAAGCCAAGAGGCAGAGATTGCAGTGAGCCAAGATGGTGCCACTGCACTCCAGCCTGGGCAACAGAGCAAGACTCTGTCTTAAATAAATAAATAAACAAACAAAATAAATAAATGTTCATGTATCTCTATTGCTTTCATTTACAAAGAAAATGCTTGGCAAAATGTTAACATTACATACATGGGGTTTAAATATTTACCCTTCTTTTGGCCTGTGAAGATTTGGTCACTTTTTCTCCTCTGAAAATTAATGCACCATGGAGTAGAGGGAGGAGTGCAGAGTGGGCTTTACACATCCTATCAGAGTGGGCTCTTTACACATCCTATCAGAGTGGGCTTTACACATCCTATCAGAGCCGGCTCTTTACACATCCTATCAGAATGGGCTTTACACATCCTATCAGAGTGGGCTTTACACATCCTATCAGAGTGGTCTTCACACATCCTATCAGAGTAGGCTCTTCACACATCCCATCAGAGTGGGCTTTAAACATCCTATCAGAGTGGGCTCTTTACACATCCTATCAGAGTGGTCTTCACACATCCTATCAGAGTGGGCTCTTCACACATCCTATCAGAGTGGTCTTCACACATCCTATCAGAGTGGGCTCTTTACACATCCTATCAGAGTGGGCTCTTCACACATCATATCAGAGTGGTCTTCACACATCCTATCAGAGTAGGCTCTTTACACATCCTATCAGAGTGGGCTCTTCACACATCCTATCAGAGTGGGCTCTTCACACATCCTATCAGAGTGGTCTTCACACATCCTATCAGAGTGGGCTCTTTACACATCCTATCAGAGTGGTCTTTACACATCCGATCAGAGTGGGCTCTTCACACATCCTATCAGAGTGGGCTCTTTACACATCCTATCAGAGTGGGCTCTTCATACATCCTATCAGAGTGGGCTTTACACATCCTATCAGAGCAGGCTCTTTACACATCCTATCAGAGCGGGCTCTTTACACATCCTATCAGAGTGGGCTTTACACATCCTATCAGAGTGGGCTTTACACATCCTATCAGAGTGGGCTTTACACATCCTATCTTGTCTTACCTTACTGGATCCCAGCACATATTTTCAGCTGGACATTGGACTTATGTGGAATCTCAAAGGTTTTGTGCAGAGGTACTAGGTCCAGGGCCATGCTTGCTATTTGCCTAGCATGGAGGATCCCACTGGCCTTGGGTACCCCAGATGCCACCATATTTGAAAATACATGAAAAAATGGCACACTTGAATGAACTAAAGCAGACTGTAATTTTTTAAGGCTGCTGGCAAGGGTTTTCTATCCAAAACCTTTATCTGTACCTTCCCTTGCAGCTTGGAAAGTTTATTCAGGCCAGAGGGTTCGAAAAGCATTTCAAGGAATGGGTCTCTGAGAGCAAAAGTCACTACAAGGTTTGGTGCTCTGGACATGAACTGATCCAACAAACATTTCTGGTCCATGAAGTAAACAGACTGCCTCTTGACAATGATTAGTCAGTGCTTCTCGCTTCTTATGTTCAAGCAGCACTGATTTCCTTGTCTTTCTGACATAGCCTTGTTCTTAATACTCAGACTCAAGACAAATATGAGAAACAGTTTGGGAGCAGCCAGCAATGTTTGAGTCAATTTCTCATAGTTCTTTCATACTGAGAATAGGAACTCTGGGCCAAAGCTATTGAGGGCCACAGAAATAATGAAATGATGTCCTGAAAGTTAGTTATTTGACTTCCACAAGACGATTTAGCACAATGCAAGAAGTACTTATGAAATGGCAGTCCAATAGCATGCAAGAGTCAAAGGGCTTCCAGGGATATGGAAAATTCATAAAAATCGAGTCCTGGGCTCAATGCTGCAAGCTATGAACAAAATGGATTTCCTACCTCAAAGTTGAATGATGTGTCTCGAAAAAGCTGGCCTTCTTTAGAGATGCATAACAAAAATCTTAGGAACTTGAAACTGTAATTTGTAAGAGGTTCTCCAGAGTGGGATACAGAGTATTAGAGGTTTCTGCAAGAGATGAGACTAGAAAGCTAGCGCAGAAAAGGTTAATAGAGCAGTATTAGCAGGATCAGAACACTGCTGAATCATAGTGTGCATTGGTACAATAAAGAATAAGAACTTAGATGCTAAGACACTAACCTTGAATGTATGAATGATGGAATAGCTGATTGTTTGAGAGTTTAATTGAAATTGTGATGCTGAATGATATCTTCAATCTTTTCTGACAGTGTTGCTTAAATGAGTGGGTAGACACTCTCCGTTCAGCACACCCCATCTATTTCTGCCTGGATGCCGAAGGTGCTGCTTCCAGACACCATTCAGCAGACACACATGCATGTGCCCGCACACACACACACACACACACACACACACACACAGCTGTCATGACAACTGAGGCATGGACATTGAGGCCATATCTGAACGGAGCCAGTAATTTAGACACCTTGGTAAAGGTGTTTTGTTTGGGGGTGAGGGAACTTTTTTGTCTACCCAGCAGCAGCAAAAACCCATCTTTCTACCCTGCAGACAGTGGTCCTTCCTAACTAAGTGCTCAATCCTGGGATCTTGGGATACTAAAACAAGGCATCATTATTTCTCTCTTTTTTTGATAACAATTTATTTTCTCTTTTTGCAAATTAT